CCGGGGGCTGCGGCTCCGCCGGGGCGATGCTCCCACCTTCCCTGGCCGTGCGGCCGGGCAGGCCGGGGGAGGGCCGGGAGGAGGCTCCTTGCAGCCCTGCGGGCTCTCCTGTGGGCTGGTGCCGGTTTGCTCTTGCAAAAATATTAGTAAGAAGCTCCAGGAACGTAAAGGAAACGTAGCCCCAAAGCTCTGTCAGTCCTGGTGAGCGACTGAAGAATAAGTGGGACAAGATTTGTATTTTAATTTTTTTTTTTTCTTTTTTTTTAAGGCCTTTGTTTTGTTTCGGGTTAACAGCAGATCGGCTTCTTTTCAAATCACTTCCAGACACACAGAAACCATGGCATGCAATACCCCACGGCTGCGAGGAGGCTGGAGCTGGGCTCTTGCGCAAGCCCATGCCCCGAGGCTTCCCGAGGCTGCAGTTCACATTTTGGGCTGGGGTCCTGGGCATGGCTGCAGCCAGAGGGAGTCACCTGGAGGGACACACACCCGGGGCTGGGACATCCTTCACACATCAACCCGATAGCCTGGGGAGGGTGGCAGGGAGCAGGGACAACGTGTTCCCTACTTGCAAATGGTTCCTTGGTCCCTAAGTCCCCCCGTGCCAAGTGTGGGATGGTCCTTGGGACCCCCTCACCCGGTGCTTGGCCCTGCACGTCTCTGCTGGGTGGATGCTGAGCCGGCAGAGCAGTGACCTGCTGGCTGCTTCTCGGCGGGTGCCGATGGCAGCTTTTAGCCGTGGGGACACTGCCGTGCCCACGGTGCGTGTGGCACTGCCACGGCCGTGCCAGCCCCGCAGCTCAGCTCCAGGGGCAGCTTTTAGCCACGCTCACCCGGCTGCCGCTGACCCCACTGTTCCTCAACAACCCCCCTTAGGCTTGGAAAGGTTTCTTTCCATATGAACCGCGCTTAAAAGCAGGGAGATGTTTCTGCTCCCGGCACTGAAATTCCCACCAGAAAATTGCCAGGGGAAGTGGGTTTGCCCCAGCCTTCACCCCAGGGCTGCTCCCGTCCGCGGGTGGGGGACGCTGGCCAAAAAACACACACACGAAATAAGTCATAAGGAAAAGAATCACAAAGCCCCCAGCAGCCCTGCCTGCCCGCGAACAACCAGCCTGACAGGCAAACCTAAACACTTCCCTGCCCGGCCCGGAGGGGCTGTGGGCAAATGGCAAGTAGCCAGAAAAGGGGGCTTGGAAAGAAAGAAAGGGGAAGGAGGCAGAAAAAAAATTAACAACTCTTTTCTTTGGAAGGAAGGGAACTGGGCAGCAGCGTCCACACCGGTCTCAGCCTGGCCCTCCCCGGGTGGCTCTTCCTGCGGGTGCCTGGGGACCCCCCCCTTCCTCCTCCTCCTCCTCCCCCTCATCTCCTCCTCCTCCTCTCCCTCGTCCTCCTCCTCCTCCTCCTCCCCTCCGTCCCGCTGATTGGTCCAGCCCGGCTATATTTTGCCCCTTCCAGCCCAGCATCATCCCAAAAGTTTTTTTTGGGGGGAAAGGGGGAAAAAAAAAAATAAAAGAGAGGGAAAAAAAAAAAAAAAAAGAAACCAAAACAAACCGAGCCGACCCCAAATCCCCCCGAAGGGCAGG